TGATTCCATTGCAAAGTGGAAAAGCTCCCACAGGGAGACCTCTCCCACCCCTCCCTGAGCCCAGCAGCTGGACATTCATGGGATATGAGAGACGACGCTCGGACAGCGACGGTTCACACCCCACGCAATCACATCCTGAGGGCTGCTTCTAGTCCTGAATTAGCAGGGCTTCAATCTTTTCATTTTTAACCTTTTTCTCCTGCTGTGGATACGTGCTGACAGTGCTCACAAAGTGAGGAACTACAGGCTCGGCTGGCGGGAGAGGGCCAGGATACAAGCAAAGAAATGAAACAGCTGGACGCTGGTACCAGAGCAGGAAACAGAAGATCTGTTCGCTAAATTAAGAACAACCAAAGAAAAAGAGAGAGACCAAGGAAATTTATTTACTTTTTATCTATGAACAGTATGACATATAATTATAGACAAGTTTTGATACACAGGAAAACCCTTTTGTCAACCATTTTTTTTGCTAAATGAAACAGCACAATAATCTTTACACATTCATATTTTGGTTTTTTTTTTCTTTTTTCTTTTTTTTTTTTTCTTTACAATACACAGCTTTCTTGGGTTGAAGCAAACTGCAGGACATATTGAGTACTGGTATATTACAGCTACTTACATCATTTAAGAACAGCAAATGGAGAAAAATAAGTTATTTAAATATTGATTTCATATACAGAAAGTGCAACATTGTTAGTTGTTACGTAACTTGCTCGACAGTTTTGATTCCCCAGAGGGCGTCAATTAAAAGATAAAAGTATCTTGGACCAAAAGTATTATTTATTCTAAAAATAATACAGTACAACTGCGCAGCTGTGACTTGGTGAACCGACGCTATTGCTGCTCTCAGAGATGATGGCCTGTCTGGATAACGCAATGTGCTTCTGATCAGGCTCCCAGTTTGCATTCAGGGCCGGGCTCCTAAGAGAGTACAGGGCACCAGGGGAGTCACCGCCACCTTGGGCAGGAGCAGAGGGTCACTGATCGAAGCTCACGGTTACCACGGCATTTGGCAGTATTTAGGGCCTGCTGCTTCTACTGTTAAACAGCTGTTGGAGTTACAAGGGCACAATGGATAGATACACTTGACGTCGTTAGCCTGAGCAGAGCAGATTAGGATTCCGGCAGCAGGTTTCTTTCATGCTTCCCAAGAGTTAACGAGCGACCTTTTGCTTAGAGCACTGAACGGTTGCAAAAAAAATGCAAAAGGTTACGGCTCTCGCGCCGCGCCGCCTCACCTGCTCGGGGAACCCAAGGTCACCGAAACCACAGCAGGTAGGCTCAATTACTGAGAAGCTTAAGGCTTTTTTAGATTAAAATATGAACTAAAAGTGTAATTCAAGTAAGAGCACAGAGCACAGTCTTAAAAAGAAAAACCAAAGTGACTGTTAAAACTCACAAGTCTCAAACTGCTCACTCCAGTCCTGATGGGCCCGATTTGGTTTCCCTGGGCTACAGAGCCATCTAAACCTCACGGATTTACAAAGAGTGTTTGGCACGCGGGTTCTGCTTATTCCCATAATTCTCCTTCTGTTATTAAGAGAGCGGAAAGTAATTAGTACGGGAGAGCTTTATTATGTGACTTGCCTTCCCTGCAACACGAGGAAATGTGTTTCCTTTCTTATTACATATAGCCAGCTCGGACTTTTCCCTTGCTCCAATATAGCTGCTGTCTACTCACTTCCGCTCAGTTCTGGCCCCTGCCAGCAATCCCAGGAAGACTCGATACTCTTTCCACCTCCTGCTTCCCGATAGTCGCCACGTAAGCCTCAGAGAGGAACGACAGACAAATCATCATTATTCAAAATACACTTTTTTTGTTGATGTCATTACAATTTTTCTTTTTTCTTTTTTCCTTTTTTTTATGAGAAGAATACTTAACACCAGCTGTGCCGCACATCTCACACCAGAACATGCTGGTTATCCTCACACCAGGGAGAACATCACAGAGCAGATCCGGAGGAGCTTTGCTTGAGAACAATTTCATGGATTAGTTGCCCCCGCACGATGGTGTGCGGTGAACAGTGGTGAAACACGAGATGAGGAAAGTGAACCTAATGCCTATCAATTCCACCAGGAGCCAAATTAATTGTCACCTGCAGTAAAACGCATAGTTCATCTGATTTACAACATGATCCCAAAAGGATCATCTACAGTAAGGAATCAGGCAGTAACCACAGTTTTTCATTCATGGATCTGGGAGCATTTGATCAGGAAAAGTGTCATTAGCTCCGCGTGAGGCTGAATAACAGAGGCAGTGAAGTGTCCCGTCTGGTTTTACGCAGCAAGTTGATGTCAGAACTGACACTGGAAACAGCCACGCACCCTGGCCCGCACCCAGGTTTCTCTACTACCTCCCTTTATCTGCCGGAGCAAGCGTGCTCTGTCTTCCGTGGGGCGGTTGCGCTACGAGAAGCTGAAGGACACGCCACATACAGACCCCAAAGAAAAAGCTAGTTATGTGCTATTCATGATAATCTGCATTTGGTACGTGAAATGTGTACCCATATATAAAAATACAATCTGTCGTTAGCCACACACGCGACTGGAACGTTTTACATGGTTTTAGGCAGAAAAATATCATTACACGATGAAAAAATGGTTCACCACATATGCCAGAACGATGCTCTCTTCCAGTGAGAGGTAACATTAACACAGTCGTAGAGGGATATTGACTGCTGTAAAATCACAGTGTAAATCAGAAGACTCTGTAGGATTTTTTCATCCATGCAATGGAATGACTGGATCTGATGGATCATTCATCCATCTGATGAATGACTGGATCTATGGGACAAAATTTGCCTTTTCCATGCGTTTTCTCCCCACAAGTGAATTTTCATTTGCAGAAACCCACTGTTTGGAATGGATATGGCCAGGATACCAAGTCAAAGCTGCAGCATAATGATTGACAGTATAACACAGTACACAGAACGTGATTAAAATGAAAAGCAGTTACATATATACAACGCAGTATATCTTGGAACAGTTTAGTAATAACAGCAAATGCAGGCTGTAGTGAACACGTTAGCCTGACAACCGAAACCTAGCGTAACCCTGCATTTGTAAAAGCATCTCTACAACACAGAAGGTGTTATGATGCGGCATTTCATAGAAGCTACTTCAGCTGGAAATCACCCCAAGTGCAGCTTAAGGGTGACAGGTTGAAACAAGGCTTGGGAAACACGAATACGGGTAAGTGAACATTAAGTAACTGCTTAAAAGCTTATTTTAAGGCAAATAAAAAGCTGATCGCTAGAAAGCAGTTATAAAAATGACCTCAGCTCTGTACAAATAAAAAGAAGCTTCTGACTCTCCGTGGGTTAGTTGTACTGGAGTGACAGAGACGGACCATACTGAAAACTAATTCCAGTCCATTAACTTTGGCCTAGCTAAAGGCTTTGTGGCGTATTGGGACCTATACCAAGCAACAGCAAAGATGACTGGGGAGGGTTGTGTTTAGCTCTAGACTGCTAAAATCAACAAAAGGCATTTGCCAAACAGCTCCTACTGGAATCTGCACCTAGGCTTGTACCTGGTCTTTAGGACTGACTCCAGGTACCTGGGACCAAGATGTACAGAAGACCCCCAAGCTAAAGGAGCTCGTCGTGGGAACACGGCCTAGCACTATTACTTTCACAAACTCCAGGAAATCGTGCAAGGGTCACTTAGTTTTGTGAAGCTGTCTTGACCCTCAGGCCAACCCTGTGCACTTTATGATAGAAGAATATTTTACAGAGGAGTGAGGGGGGAGGGAAGTACCACATCTATGTTACCTGGTGGTTGCTTCTCTTCTCCTTCAGTTGCCAGAGACAGCAATAGAAACATTTCATATCCTTTGAAGAAGATATCTGCCTGTCCTTGGGAGCCACTTCCTTGATCCCTTTAGCTATGTGAAGTAATTAGAGCAATACTGGTGCAGGAAGAAGCAGTGGATTCTCAACCGGGCAATGCCATACTACAGAGCATGTTAAATTGCCTCTGGATCAAGAGGTTTGAAGAGTCTTGCTGCTGCCAGGAGCTTGCTTATGTGCCTTTCCTCTGTGATGCCAGCTTCTTGAAGGCAAGTTTGTGACAGAGAAGGCACTTTGCTCAGTGTGTTGAATCCTGCTTCTGTGAGCAGGCTGGAATACATAGGTAGACCAATGGAAATCAGCCAGTCAGATACAGAGGTGATAAGTCCTGGGGATACAGGTTTTCGGCAAATTTCAGTGAGCCCTCCACTTGGAATCTGAACAGTAAAGGAAAAAAAAAAATGAGAAGAATACTTAATCGTAACTGCTTGTTTTACAGCAAGTCGCCTTTTGTCTTTCCTTCCAAAGTGGTAGAATTTCATAGCAGATGTTTCAACTTCTCTCACATCACATCCATCAGTATGAGTTGAAAAGCTAAGATCACTTGGCACAGAGGCAACAGCAGCAACTTTGGCAATGCAGATGCAGTGGGCAGTATCCAGCTGCTTGGGCGACCATCACGTGCCATTCTGAATCGGTTCGAGATCAGTAAAAGATACTCAGTGAGACGACTTTCCAGAGTGATCCATTTAATTTCCCACTAAGGCAAGAGAACACCAATTTTGCCTACTACCTCCTCAGACAGACCAAGTTCTCTTACAAGGAAGCTTTCGACAGTTTCCCCCTCCCGCTTTTGCTAAGGAGGAGCGGACAACAGTTTAATTTAAGAAATGAAAAAGCAGGGTAGAACCTTTCAGATTTCAAGAGAGAAGTGTTTAATGCGTGCCCCCCTCAGTGAGCAAGGCTCTGCCACCACTGCTTGCAGTCTGTGCAGACTTTGAAGACTACTATTCAGCCAAGAGAGCGGGCTATCCGTTCTCCTTTCCACTACTAACTGTCCTCCTTTGGGACAGGGGGAGGTACTGCCCGCTCCTGTAGTACCCCTACCTCCGATGTATCTGCTGGGTGAACACAGGAAATATTTTTCCACCCGGACTTTGCAGGTATGTCCCTTTACCAGCAGTCAGTCCTTTTTAAAAGTCTGCTTGTAAATAAGAAAACAGGGTTTATGGAAATACTCACTGCCATGCGATGCTGCTTCCTCAGCTGCTTTACCCGGATTTGGTCCATGTTTGTGGCAACATCCTTTTCCGGCTGGTCCAAGTCTTCGGAGTACCTCTGTACCAAAGCCTCAGGAAAGTTCCCAGCCAGACAGAAAGGAGAGAGGATAGGTCAAAGCAGTGCATCGATACAGACCAATCAGTGCAAACTTAAAGTGCAGGATGGGAGCAAGAAGGAACCTCTTTCCTTGAGATTCCATGAAAACTGAATTAAGCAATCCCTAAAGGAAGGAGCAGACCTTAGGATGCCTTCCTTCCCAAAAAGATATCCTAATCACTACACTATCAGTTCAGATTTTCTTGGCAGCATACAATCTAAAATCATGACTTCCTTTTTCAGCCTTTACTTCTCCACATTAGCAGAGAAAGGGACATTTCCATGCCCAGCATCACCAAGGTACTAGTGACCTGAAAAGATGGAGGTTCAGAGTAAGTCTGGGATTTCTCAGGCCCTCCACAGCACAAGAGTTACTTTAGGTGTAAGGCCTGATGGTAAAGACATAGTTATAGAATGTCTAATGTCCCACTGATTTATGGTTTATCTAGGCTGGTTACTCAGAAAAATACAACAGAGACAATAAGTCAAAGACCATCCCTTGGAGTGCCAGTGCAACAAAAGCGCTGAAGCAACATCCCCCACTTACCTTGTCAGAGTATGGTTCTTCAGTGAGATCAATGTCTTCAGACTGCAGCTTGTTCTCTATTACCATTTCCAGATCCATTCCCCTGCTACAAGAGACTTTCCTCGCTGAAGTGGGACCTAGCTTTATCACATGCTGCTGAACACTAGCAGTCTCTGGGAGCTCCGACAGCCAGGGTGGCAGTGGGCTAGGAGGGGTACTGGGCTCCTGTTCAGAAGATGTCCTATGGACAGGTACTCCGTGACAATCAGTGGAAGTGGACGAGCTGGTCTTTTTTACTGGCAAACACGGTGCTTCTAGACTCGAGTGGTTCCCACCTGTTGCCATGGGAGGATGATATAATCCATTAGAAAGGCGCTCTCGGCATTTTTTGGCAGGGACAGGTGGTGGCTGAGAAGGATTTTTTGGTTGCATTCTTGCCTCATTTGTGCCTTTTTGCTCAGCTTCCAGACCTCCCTTCAGGACTGGAGCGTAATCAGCCTGCGCAAGGTCATGAAAGCCTTTACTCTGTATTTCTAGAGGCATCCTTGTTGCAAAATGTGTTGCTAAGGCAGGCTGAGCTTCACAGTTTGTCAGAGGGAACGGAGCAGGCTTTCCACCTGCAGTCTCCATTACAGAGCAGTCCGATTCCTTACCTCTTCCCTTCTGAGAACTAGCAGCTCCTTTACCCTGCTTAGCCTTCAAGTCATCTGCCATGTAGCTGCCTCCACGAGACTGAGGCAGCAGGGCAGAGCCAGTCGCCTTTTTTGCTATATCCAGTGAATCCTGAGGAAAAGAACCTACTTCCTTGCTAGTGTCCTGTAGGTTAGTATTGGATTCTCCCTGGAGATCATCCAGCGAGTGTGATCTCGGCCATGTATCCACATCCTGGGGGCCATCCAGAGTTTCATAGCTCCGACAGACGGCAACTGGTAAACTTCTACGGTTCTTCTTCAGACCTGTAACAGCTGGAGGTTTGGCAGAGCTCTGGAGAGCACGGTGCGCACAACTCAACCGGCTTTCCTTTTCCCCTTGCTGCAGGGTTTCTATTGACTTGGCCAGTGGAAGCGTAGGATAATTTGATAGCTGGTTTCTGCTGAAGTCCTTAAAGCTATGCTCACTTGCTGATTTTGAGGGCAGAAGACAGGTCCTTCGACTTTTACCTAGAAGCAAACAAATCACAATCCACCATTAAAAAAAAAAAATAATCTGCAGTGTAAACAACGTATAGTTTCTAAATTCCTTTGAAAAAAAGTAATAACCCTCTTTTTGTTAACTCTAAATGTGCGAGAACTCAACACCATTTTAAGCATACGCATTTGTGAGCTTCAGCTTCATTAATGAAGAACTGGTAAATGTGACAACATAAGGAAAGCACATTTAAAATACTTAATATCCTTCCTACTCCCCAACTTCCTGAGATTTGAGGTTCAGCTCATGCAAACCTTTTTCGGTGTAGAATATTCTACAGGTAGAACTGATACCCTATACACACATGAACTGGTTTGACCCCACACAGAAATAACTCAAAAGACCTATCATTCGTTCCTACTTCTCTAATTTGTTTAAGATATTGATGATTATGTCCACCTTCTAATGATGTTTACTAGATTACTCAGGAAAGATCTTTTAAAAAAAAAAAAAGATACTGCGGATTCTTTTTAATTGCAAAGTGCACTGGTGGTGTTATTTCATCTTTTAAATGAGCAGCACACTATTTGCAACGGCAAACCAGAGAGCAAAGAAGTGTTGGAAGACTGGTTTTGCACCAGTCCCTTTATAAAGTCACTTACAGGGACAGCAGGGTTTTATGGAAAAAGCTCTTATGAGATGGAGAAGAGTTGCAAAAGGGAGTTTCAAGTGTGACTAATCTTAGCGTTCCTCTCACGCCATAGTGTTTAATCCAAGTGGAAGGTCTTAGAGATGTGGTGTTTTATTATAACCACTTAAGACAAGATGACATGAATCCATATGAACCACATGCTCTTTGTAAGCTTTGTTTTACATTTTGATGATATGCGCCATTGATTTTAAACAGTGAAGCCCATCAAATCTGCTTGACAGAAAAATTCTGATCAAAGGGACAGAGCTCATTAGAGTGTTCATTAGTATGAAATACAAGGTCATTTCTCAACTGCTGCACAGATTTTTAAAAAATTTTCTTTTTAACAAGACAGAAGTAAATTTGTCTCAAAGCAGACGACCTCTCAGAATGGCAGCACATCCTGAACAATTATGGTTTTCAGGGTGACAGGAGTACTTTCTCTGAAGTACAGCAAGCTTTCTAAATTCAGGATAAATATATAAAGCTTGAAACTTCTTTTTCCAACAGGAAAAAAAACCCCAAACCAACAGATTTGGTTATATGGTACCAATAGTCTGTAATAATAGGCTGCCAATTAAAGGGCCAGTTACTTTTAGAGAGCTCTGAAGTTTTGCTAACTTCACTGGAACTAAATGAATCTGGTGTACTCTGAAGCAATAGAGGCTCTCTTCTCATACAGCCTGCCTTCAGAGCTTTACCCAGAAAGATGCTCAATGCTTGGCTTTTGAATAAGATACCTGCTCCCTCTGAATATGAACAGAAGAGCCTCTTCAATCTAAAAGAGAAATAGCTTGCTTTCTCTTTTACTCTTGCCTCTTTCTCTGCTCACAGAGTTAAAAAAACCCCAAAGTATCCAGAAAACTAGCAGAGAAAAGGAAGGTTACATTTAAAAAGAAATAAGGAAAACATTCCTCTCAAAAAATGTTGGTTGTGTTCACCGCTACAGCAGCAAGGAGATTCTGTCTGGAACCAAGGTGTGCCTACAAGGATGAATGCAAGCATACAGGAACTCCTGCCTCAGAAGCTGTACGCTTCACAGTTCAACTCAAACTAAATATTGCCATTCCCACCAAATGCTAATGAAGACACATCACACATTAAGTTGGCTTCCTTGCTACTACCTCAAGTTCAGGTAGCTTAAAGAAGTAGGAGGAAGACTTCTCTGCTTGCACCTTTCCATGGAGCTAGGCCACCACCTTCTGAAAATAACTTAGAACCACATTAAATCGATGTGTAAGCAGCGTTACATCCATTTTCAGTGCCCTTGCGCACAGATATCAATACACAATGAGTACGGCAAGCAGCGCTCTCTTTTCATTACTCATATTTGCCACTGCATCTCTGACTTGGGCTGTAATTCCCCATATTGTCCAGGGTTTGCTGCCACAGCTCGCGTAACAAAATCCATCTACCTTCTTTTCAATCTGAAATGTTGGTCAGGGGTTATACTGGTTTTAGGACAGCACACTCAGGAACCTCAACACTGAAAGCACAGTTGCTACTGCTGTGCAAGAGAAGCTCTTACTGAGGCCGTGAGGGTACCTAGTGAACAACATGGCATTTCTTTAGAAATGGGGTATGTCTGTGTAAAGCCAGTAGCCTGGGAATAGAAAAAAGAAGAAATGGGAAATAGGAAAATGAAGAAGAAAAAAAAGAACAAGAAAAGAAAGAAAAAAATTTGGGGAAAGTAAAATCAAATCTTTAATTCATTCAAGCTCTATTTTGCATAAAAGTACCAATGTGGAGAGAGTGGGAGGAAGTTAAAAACATTTTGTCTTCTAAACATATAACCAAATGTGCCATCTTTAAGTTGTTCCAAAACGGTTTGGAAAAAGTGCTGGGTTCAGTGCTCCTTTTTGTACAAAGGATGGGGGTTCAGAACGTAATTTCTTTTACACAGATTTAAGTCAAGAGCTATAGCAGGAGGGCAGCTGTGATTTCTCTTTTTCTAGCTATTCTTTCCCTTCTCCTGACTGCGAGGTGTCACTTCATTATGCTCCTGAGACTTGAAGAAAGGAAGGTTTCATCTCCTGAACACAGACTTTTAAATGTTTTTGTTTCCATGAAGTGGAGAGCTACAGAAATAATGTCCACAAATGTTACATTCCCTCCCTATCTCAGAAAAAAACGCACGACCCCCTTCCCCAGACCCTACAAGGGTTAAAGTGTCGAGCTAGTGAGGTTTAAAACACATTTTTAACGTTAGCATTTTTTTATACCAATTCCTTCTTATGATTCCCTGGTACACTTAAGCAGACTAATGGCTTTCGTAGTGCTGGCAACCACAGCAGCATCTCTGATTTACGTGTGTGCAGACACAGGTGTCTGGATGAAAAGTAAGGTAAGAAAGGTGGTCCTTACACAAAACTAACGGGATGTTTACATTGCTTCCAGGTTCAGTTCAAGCTACAGGCATAGTTCAACTCCTTTTTTTATGTTACGGTGCAGTTTTTGTTAGACAGCACTGTCTACCTCTCATGATACTCCCTGTCATTCGAATACAGAGAAGGAACTTCTCCTGCCATCATCTTCCCCAGAAGAGAGGAGATTATCTTCAGGAATATTTCCAGAGGTACTGGAGCTACAGCAACAAAATTTCAGTGTTTCTCTTAGTACTTTTTTTCCATATGGAAGACTGCCCTCAGAAATATAGTACTCAGACCCAGACAGAATGCATTCAGTGGCCTGTCCAAACCCCAGATTTTATTAACTACATTTTGGTGTTGCTTTCCGTGGCTGTATTTTGGGTGCATTTCAAACAGCTCAGCGGACACACCAAGGACGACGACTCAAGAGACAATCCGAGCCTCAGGGCTTTATAAAGTGATGACAAACTAGCAGAAACACACACTGCTAGGAGAAATGGCAATGTGGCCACCTGTTGTGTTGCTTCCTTTTGTGACTTAAGGTGTCGGATGTCCCCTTGGCACTATGGAAATCTGGGCCTCAGTTGCTGAAGAAATCCAGAGAACACCCTTATCCCACCTGATAAAAGCCATGGCTTGTCTGCCTCTTCAGCTCTGCGCACTGCGTGTGCAATTCTGATCTCTTCATAACTCCCCCCCTCCTTAAAAAAAGTTATACTGCACAACAAACAACGGTTCAAAGAAGCCAGGCATGATCAGGGACATGAAAGACCTGTAAGGAATCATTAACAGGCCTATAAAAAAGATGACTTTGGGGGAAGTAAGGTCTACACTGTTGGGTATGAAGGTCGTAAGCAAGACCAGGGATATTCATAAAGAGAAACAGTTTCGGGAAAATGGATGAATGCCAGGAAAAAGTACCCAATATTTGAAGTCCGTAAGTCCTTAAATGATTCATTCCCCAAGAGTTCCCTGGGAAGCACCACATAGGCTTGCTCTGTTCCTATACTGTTCTCTAGCTATCTGCTTTTGGCGTGTCCTATGAGAACTAGGATTTCCAATACGGTTTCCAAATGCGTCTCAGACGGACGACATCCGCACGGAAAACACGGCCAGTAATGGCACCCTTGCCAGAAGCCTGAAGGAGAGCTTGCTCTCTCCGCCTTGTTTCAATCCGAGGACCGGACTACATGGACTAACGGTCTCACCATGGGTGGTTGCTTTCTGCTTATGTTCTCCCTGTCTAACGCTGAATGGGTCACAAACTGTATGTTCCCTGCTCTCTGTACATCAGAATAAAATCACGCTAATGCTGTGATTACCTGTGTTGTGGATACCTATGAGAACAGCCAAACATTTTTGCAGTGGGACCCTGAGAAGTACCTGAAGAGATACATCTGTACCACTGCCACAGTACCATTTTCAATTAAGAGCAGCTCTAAAATCTTGAGCTGATGCCAAAAGGTCCAGTATCAGCCCAGAACAGGACACTATAGTAGTCATCAAAATATTATGTATAACAATTCTCCAGGAAATCTGATGACCAATTCCGTCTCAGAAAGCAATTCCCCTTTGTGAAGTGCACCTTATTACTGCTGATCTGCATACTATGATGCTTACACTAGACAAATGTTTATCCTTACTTTAACAGATGAGAATCCAATGTATTTTGAACACATCATGCATATCAACAACTACAGTCCATGAACTTTGCAAAGAAGGTGGAGCACATTTCGGATTAACCAGCCTTGACAAAATCTCTGAATGAATCACGTTACGAAATGTGCTTTTCATAATGGTTTTCAAAACAAGCACTAAATGCATTTGCGAGCAAAAATAATGCAGAAATGCAGCAAGCCCTACGCGAAAACCAATATAAAAATCATCAGTGGGATTTCACGTTCTGCAAAACTCAGATAGGAGTATCAGTTTAAATGTAACAGTAAGTATCTAAGCAGACAGGCAATGAGAATTGCTTTCTAAAGATTTTATTATATTGTTAAAATAAGGAAAATGTGCAGGCAGTAATTTAACTTCAGTGCTACAGCCACCATTATGATGGCGCTTAGAGATAAAAAGGAGAGAAAATTGTCACATATGCCATATATTTAGCTATTATTACATTCCAGCATGCCTACTGTATGGGAATCATATTCAAGAAAAAAATTCTCTCTGCTTTCAGGCATTTAGTGTATTGCTGATTTCAGGCATTCCACTTCAAAGCAATTGCAATTTTCTTCAATAAATGGTTATTTCCAAGTGGCAGACTGACAGAAAATGTACATGCTAAGAGAAAGATATTTTGCTCATATTGTAAATTCTTAAAATCGTCATTACAAGGGGTGTACAGTACCTCTACCTATTCTGTTCTTGGTTTCCTGTTTATACTGGATGTTAGCCATGAAACTGAGGCCAAGCCATGGTTCAAATGCTTGGAACGATAATGCCAAACAAACCAATTTCATCTATTTTAATATTTCATCCCTAATGACAAGTTTGCACCATCCATCCCCCAAGTAAAGCACGCTCAGTCAGCACAACCACCTGATTTCTTCAGAACAGAGAGAGTAATCTCTGTTATCATCTGTCTCGGTAACTTTTTAGTGCATCACCTTTAACTGATGTAAGACAAAGTAATGGGAATTGGTATCATAAACATTTTTGTCATAGTTTATTTCCTTGCCAACTTCTCAATTTAACTTGTTAGTGTTCATACATGGAAAAGTCCTAAATCTCTGCAGTTGGCTTCCGACCAGAGAAGAACGACACACGCAATCTAAGCAAACACAAAATATGGCCTATGTCAGAGCATATTTTTTCTAAAGAGTTTTTGTATGGGTTGAGAAAAAACCCTCCCTCCTCCTCTCAGTGGAGTTCAGCGACTTCCCCATTGCAGGCGGTCCTTTAGACGTGGGCTGTCGCAGTGGAAGCAGTGCAAGCCCCATGAGGCAGGGTTGTGTGAGGATATGATAGGGAGTGGAGAAGGCAGGGAATGGCAGTGGGAGTGCCTGTTGCCTTAGGGTCACCAAAGAAAGATGACTTGTGAAATGTGATCTGTTTCCTACCAATGCAAATAAATAAATTAGAAGCAGTAGCAATGAAAACCAATGGCTCCAGCCAAGAGGGACAGAGGCAGTCATTGCAAAGGAGAAGGTCAAGTATGAGGTAGCTTGTGTAGCTAGGAACAGGAGTAGAAAGCACATGGAATTATCTACTGAAAAAAGGCTGCAGGGATTATAAGGCTCACTGCTGTCCCCATTACCATTCTCCAGGTTTTCACTGCTTTCGTAGCAGCCAGAATCCCGAGGAGAGCATCCAGTTAGGCCCTGGCCTTCAACGAGAAGTTTCTCCTGCGATCCTGACTGGTCGCTGTTACCTAGAAAATGCAAGAATACAGTGAAAAACAGGAAAACAGAAAACCCAGCTGAACTTCTCAACCTCCCATTTCCAACACCATTATTAATTGTATCAGATCACTGTTTTAGAAAGAGTGAGCATTAGGAACAGCCATCACAAATGTGGGAAACATTCATCCCATTTGGTAAAGGACTGAGCAACAGCCCCAGCATGAGTGTGAGGGAGCAGGGTGGTACACAATGAAAGCAGAATGGACCATGTGTGCACCTCAGCTGCCTCAGGGGCTAAGTCCTGCAACTTACAGCCACAGAAATTTATTTAAAATGATGGTGTCAAAGTTCTTTCTATGACTTCAAGAAACCCAAACATCTAAAACAAAAGCAAAGAGCTCTGAAAAGAACCAAATCAAGCAAAAAAAGAAAAAAATCCTAACCCTGACCTACTTTCCCAAAGGGACCAAGAGGAAGGACCAGGAGAGGCTCCGGCAAACTTAGATAATGTCTCCTAATGAAGGGGGGAGGGACAAGGGAGAGACTAGTGGTAAAAATTCCTTCCTTCCTTGGTCTGTGCAAAGAGCCAACACTCGAGTGTGGTCCATCCAGGCTGGATTCCAGGAATTTACCCAGAATGTTTGGTCAGAAATCTTATTTTGTAAAAGAAACTAAATCTGGAGCTGGGGATACAGAAAACCAAATTCCTGATGCAAGGATGCAGTTTATGCTGTGTCTTCCCTGCAATAAAATGTCAGAAATGGCCATTCCAACTCCTATTCTCAGCACATGAAAGGTAATTATGGGGTGGAACTAAGTGCCGCTGCCCCTCCCAGGTTCCAACTGCCTGGTCCCCACTTCTCTTTCCCCTCATCACTCTGACTTGAAGCTGCAATTTATACTTTCCAACCACCACATCACATAGTTCTTCAAGTTTTTAAACTGAAAATGCAGTGATCTTAGAAAAACTATTACTTCAGGGAAGTGAGCATTCTAAATAGGTCTGCAAATAATGAAGCTCATTAGCTGATGAAAAGCTACTCTGATACAAGTGAAAAGAATCTCATTTTGTAACTGTAGTTTTACTGGGGGGTAGAGCAGGGTGGAGAAAATGTGGATGCCACTTTGGGAAATGAAATGAACAAGAAACCTCAGGCCACACAGCACTGCCTAGAGATACTAACCACACATCTCTCTGTAACAGAATTAGGCACTGCCCACTTAGTAAGCAGATGTTTAAATTGTTGCTATGGCAGTTTAAGCTAAAACATCGGATTTTGCACAGAAGCAGCTGAGAAAGCCCCCGCACAGTCCATTCCACTGGTTCTGCTCAGTGGGATAATTAAACTTCTGCTGATACTTGGGGAGGAAGGGGAAATTCAGTACTGTCTTAGATTCCTGCAACGACATATTGAGCACATCTAAATTCCCGTCTCAAGCTACACTTGCTTTTCAAATGGCTCTAACTCTAGCAGGACGACTGCGTGGATGGTACAGCCTGGCCTCCTCCTGTGCAGCAAAGGCGCCATCCAGTTTGACTGCCGTGGCTTACTCTGCTTCCCCTCATCTTCGCAACCACTTGCCTGAGGGCATCTGTACAATGGGCAGAACTGCACAGCTGCACCTCAGACAGTCACTCTCTAACTTGACTGATGTATTTTCTCCCTTTGAAATTCACTGTGTTGTCCTGTGCACAACCTGCAGCTACCTGTACAACCCTGCAACACACAGTGCGAGAATCATATGCACGTGCAGGTAAAATAGGAGAAAACTGAATTTGCATTACCCTTCTCCACAGACCTCTGGGCTTTCTGATCTTTTTCTTGCCCTTGATAACCTCAATCTCTTCCTTTTAGTCTAGAGGTTTCTTATTTCTTACACTCCATGCCTCAGTTTCTTATTCCAAGCAGGTTATCTCAGGATTTATACCCAAACATCATTAGTCTAATGGGTATGTGTTGTACACTTGACATTAATAAACTGGGTAGCAGGGCTTACATAAACTAAAGAATTCTGGCAGACCAAATGCAAGTCTTAAGTCACTCCTGAGAAATCTACATGTTGTTACACAGGATTACCCTGGAAATAACTAGATTAGGAAAACATAAAATATCAAAATCCTGGAACCAGTTTTCTGCATAAAGGGATTCACAAGGTTCTTGGCAGAGCTCTAGTAAAACTGAAAACCTCAAACATCCCACGTACTATCATACTCCTGTAGAAGTTCCACTGCTGTGAGGAGAACAGCTCTGTGTTCAGGATCTCGGATGTTCAGTTCATCCAAATCTTCTTCTTCTAAAAGCTTAAAGGTATCCAGATCTTCATAACCATTAAACAGAAAAGTGGGCATGTGCTCCTGTATAAAAGGAAAACAAACAAAAAAAAAAAGACAACATTTTTATTTAACCTATTTTGTCAATAAAGATACTAGAAGAGATTTTCACAACCAGCACAAGAAAAGCAGTAGTTTAGCAAATGCAAACCACTGTATAACAGCAAAGTTATAGGATTATAGCTTGTATAAACACTGCTCAGAGTTCAGGGAGGTAGCTGTGCCAGAACCAGAATCTGCACATTTTTTTGTATTTGGAATGCACTGTATTCAGCGGCCTGGGCAGCACGCTACCCAGACGCACAGCATGCAGCATGGCACAGCTCTGTACGAAGGGAGAAGTACAAAGGGTGAATGACAGCCACACCGGTTTATCCCTAGCTCTTCTGAACAGGAACGTGGAAAAAAACTCCTCTTTAAAGACAGGGTAACTTGTTATTTTACACTTTTTGCTTGCTTCTGAAGTCAGTTAGCTAGTAGCCATACTATGCAACAATTCATGGTCTCCGAGTGCATACAACTTGCAGCCAGCAGCAGTTCATCAAGCCTGACGGGCAGTTCCGCCTGGCGTAGGCTATTTTCACTCTGCAGCTAAGACCCGATTCTGCTAAGTGGTGTCATGATCCTTAGGATTATGAATCTAGCGTGCAGCTTCCAAACCCAACAACTCCAAAGGTGCATCCCCCTTCCCACACACACAACTGAAGGGTAAAGAGAAAGACAGAATTTGGACCTTTAAGTTGATGCGATCCAAGAGATCCTCAACTGACTTGGGCTGGGGTGGTCTGCTTTTCCGGCGTCTCCGGGTGGGCCGCTTTGGCTTCTCTTCCTCTTCATTTAACACATCCACGTAGATGAACTTGAAAGTGCCAACTTTGTTGTTCAACAGGCCCATCCAAGTGCCCATGGGAGGTTTGCTGATTATATCAATGATGTCGCCTTTCTGCAGCCCAAAGGAGCGAGAAAGCCATTTAGGCGTGTTTTCTGGTGGATTCTCAAGCAAACGCAACCGCTTTCTCTCAGACTTCCATGTACACAGAATGGACAACACTCCAGTTTTCCAAAGCTTAACCACAGCTCTTGCAAAAAGGTATGATTACACTTGTTTTACGAATGGAAGACAAGGCAAATACATGCCATGTCTAAGACCACAGAGCAAGTCAACAAAAGAGCCTAGAATGGATGCCAACCGTCCAGATTCAAACACCTGCTTACACCCCAGTAGCGCACCCCGGCTGTTTTCGTACGGGTATCTCCGAGCTGCACACCTACCCCAACAAAGTGGTGCAAGTAAGAACATGCCCAGCGTATACGGGCACAACCTCACATCAGGTTTCCTCAGGAAAGGAGGCGCATGCAGAAGTAACTGTGCAGCGCTGCTGCTGCCTGGCCTAACGTGCTCCTGACCATAACGAAGAGATGGACATGCAACTGGTTTTGTATCCTTAAAGAGATCGTCTGCCACATATCTGCTTTAATAGGGATTAGCTGGCCTCTGGATTTTAAGGAATGAATGTAAGGAGTCAGACAGTTTGAACTGAATACAGCACAATTAAAATAATAAAACCTATATTAATAAAAAATAAAGGGGGTGTGTGTGTAACAACTCACAGTCAGCAAAGTAATTCAATATTAGCTCAAAGCAAGTTATATTAACTGAAATGCCTTTAAGAGTCGCTACGCGTAGGCACATCCACATTTCTTCCAAGGATTTTGAAAATTTTTCCACTGGCGAATTCATTCATTGTGGCAGACAAAGTATTTTTCCAATCTTTTAAACAAAATCCTTGCAAAATGGAAATGAATGTGTGGCACGTTTTTATTTTTCCAGAAACTAAAGACGCAAGTGCCTTTCCCTAGGTATGGAGAAATACTAATACTTATGCTCTGTAACATTTTGCTATAATTCAAGGAAATCTTAAATGCATCAGAATAAGACAGGTTAAAGGACTTCAGAAAACACATGTAAACTCATTAAAAGACTAAGAATTGTACAGTTCTTGCAAAGAGCTCTTAACAAAGAATTCTGCCAAAGCAAATGTTTGACCCCTTAAAACCAGATATAGCTGGTACCTTGAGCTTCAGAGAGTCTGTATCATAAGGACTTGGAGTAAAATCAGTGTGAACCCTGGCTCTTCCACAAAAAGGTCCTCTGTAAGGAGGCTCCTCATCATCACCGTCTTCTGATTTCACACTCTCCCTGTTGCTGGTTGAGGAATCTGTTGTGCTCACCGTCTGACCACCTGTATGACAGACATAGTGTCAGTCCACAAAAAAGAAGGTTCAGAAACAGAGGCAAATCAGAAAATGGGTCATCCTCCTATAAACCACTGTAATCAAAGTTAAGCTGCTATTTCTTATATACACATGTGATAGGAGAGTTAATTTACTTTGCACTCTTGTTTTCCCAAATTCAGGTCTTCAGTACTTAACTGAGAAGTGTCTCATCTACAGTACACCACAGGAGATGCTATCTTTCTGGGAAGTTTGGCCCACAAAAAAGCAGAGTGGTGTGAGGAAAACAAGCTCTGAATACTGCATGAGGGTTCCAGAATCCACAAATTTGTTTTTATAGCAACACTTTGTATTGATATTATAAAAAAACCCAAACACAAAAAGTGCATGTATGATTTTCAGAACGCACTTACAGTTACTTAAAAATGAAGATTTCTCTTCAATTTTTTTTTCCCCAATATGTTCTTGGTTTCCAGTGGTCAGTAACCCATAGTGAAGAAGGTTCATGCCATCTGTGTCCCACTTAAGCTCTGTTTTGTGTAGAGACATCTTAACCAGAAAGGCTTTAAATAATACTCCTCCAACTAGTTAATGAAAGAACCTCAAGGTCTCTCTGAAGGTGGTATGAGAAGCCCATCAGGAGTGCCCAGGAGAAGTCTAGTGTAAAGATGAGCCTGTTTACTACTGGCCAAGGATTGTAATTCTCACTCCAATAATTTATATTATGATGGCAGGACTCGGCAGACCCAGACAGAAAGCAGGATTTCACTTTTTCAGGGCTCTGTATAAACGCAAAGCACAAAAGATTGTCTCTGCACCAAAGAGATTACTGTTCTTTGCAAACCCTTAATGACTAACCCATCAGCCTTTCTACTTATTAACCACTGCTTCTGCTTTGACTTTCTCTGATTCTGCTTACTGCAGAGATCTCTGCTCCCCGAAGCCACAGAAATGGAGCAACACAATTACAACCAAACTTACTCATTGAGCTCTGACCGCTTAAGGAGCTCCTCAGGCTCTCTACCGAGCCCCCGGCTTTCAGCTTGGGTTTGTCCAGGGAGTCAGTGTCTGGCGGCGGTGACTGCGGAGAACCTGGCATGACCCCAGGGCTGGACTCCTGAAAGGGATTGATTCAGTTTAGTAAATGAACAAAGGCACTGACAGGAGCTGCTTGATCATCTCCAAGGAAAAAGATTCTGTTTTCCTGCTCTTCACCAGACAGGATGAAACCTTCTAAGTTTATCTACTGATTTTCTGTTAACTCAGCTGTGGCAGAAACCCCACTTTATTAGGCACAATAATGGGGACAGGAACAAACTGTCCAATCTGGAAAAGCTAGTACTGGAAGTAGAAACATTACACAAAACTCCCAATTCAAAGGTTTTAACGATGCATGATATTTTTGCCAGAATTACTTGTAAAACAGCTAAGGCCAAATTCAGCTTTTCATATGAAGATGAATACAAACAAATCAGACAACGTAAGCACACGTTGTACAGGTTTTTTGGCTGCAGTGAACTGTTGATACCTTTTTTTATTTACCTTGAAAGAAAAAAAAAAAAAGGAATCAACCAGAAAATGAAGCCTAGGCATAATAAAAATACTCTTAAACGTAAATGCATAAATATAAAAAGATGTTGCCACCTGTGCAACAAGTGAGGCAATGTCTCTTTTTATTCAGTCAAGCATTACAGGAAAACTAAAAAACTCTTTCTTTCCTACACTGAAATTCTGTCAGTCTCTGTGAAGTAGTTAAAGCAAAGCAGCAATGCTTGTGGCCAGAATAGCTTTTGCTTGGTTTTTTTTTAGTCACGACACCAGAAAGGTACAAATATTCTAACACGACTGTGCCACAAAGTTTGGAAACAGAAGAACTGTAGTTTGCATACAAGAAGGGCTTTTGTGGAGACATCTGGTTGTAAAACTTGTAGAGGAAAGCGGTTATTTGCATGCTGCAGAATCATCAGGGGGAAAAAAAACAAAAGGCATCCCAGCATATGACTTCAGAGGTCAGCTCAGCCCTAGAGAGAGCGGAGCATTGCTAACGCACTCCGAGCCGGTACCTCAGAGCATCCCTTTCTTAGACAGACTTTGCAGAGGGGCACCATAAGGCCCGCCAGACACCAAAGTGTCTTCTTATGGACAGCAAATCACGTTAGCCCTTAAAACGTTCTGACTGGAAGCGTCGATGAAACAACCGTAACCGCAGCACCGCTCCCGGCCCTGAGTAAGCACGGCTCATAGTCCTACAGGACAGGGATTCCAATGCCGCTGAGCTCTGCATAAACCCGGGCCCCGTTCTGCCCCCCACGCTGCCTCCAGACTTCGCCGTTTGGGGCCGTCAGTCTGACGCTGAGGAATGTCTCCTTTGCCAGGCCCTGAGGCCCCGCACGAGTACGAGCAGGCGGCGTGGCGGGGCATGGCCCCCTCCCCCCAGCGCCCCGCGGCTGGAAGGGTCCGGGGCGGAGCAGCCACCAGGGG